AGGGAAACCCATTGATGGATACATTCACATCTAGAATGTCTGCTATGGGGCCTGAGTGCTGTGGATGCTTCTGGGCACGCTCCATCCTCTGGTCCCCTACTATAAGGAGTTCATCTCAGGCCATGGTTTTGCTCAGAACCAGCTTGCTATTTGGAAGCACTCAACCATGGGCTTCCTTGGTGGCTCAGCCAGTAAAGAATCCGCCTGCAATGCAGGAGACCTGGGTTTGATCCCTGGGTCGGGAAGATCCCCTGGAGAAGGGAATGGCAACCCCCTCCAGAATTCTTGCCTGGAGAATCCCATGGACAGAGGAGCCTGGAGGGCTATAGTCCGTGGGGTCGCAAAGAGTTGACATGACTGAAGTGACTGAGCACACATACTGAGAACAACCATGGCCGAGGCGCCTAGGCTCACAGGTCACACAGTTCAGGTCCTCAGTCCAACCATGAGCTCAGGAGGGGCCCTGCAGCTACGGCACTGCTCTGACTGGACGCTGAACAAGAGAGGAAGCAGGAATCCAGGGCAGCCAAAGCAGCCTCATCCGCCATGTCACCTGTCGAGGACTGATTCATCACCTCAGTTTTGGAGTGCTTTGTAAAGAATTTTTCTGATAAAAAAATTGTGTCAAGTCTCCCTCACAAAAAAAAAAAAAACTGACAAGATGAAATTCACCTAACCATACAAATATATTAAAACTGTTCATGTGAGAAGCTAGGCTAAAGGCAGAATTTGTCAAACCAGGAAAGGGAAATGGAACTAATTTTATTCCAGGCAAAATTAATTATACTGAAAAAATAACAACACTGAGGAAAAGAAGATTCTATCACCGAGTCAGGCTCTAACCCCGTCTGCCACACATGCATCTCCATGATCCTTCAGTATCAGCTGCTTCAAATTTTCCAGATACACTGATGTCCCACCTCCTCTTACTCAAAACACTGTCAACTGTCTTTCCACACAGCCTTTTAAGAGAACTAATACTATCAGTTTCATCTGATTGAGATATTTATTTCATATTTGCCAGAAGATTCTGGCCAATGTTTTTGAAAGCACATTTAACTATACCATATGCCTCCTTAAATCATCTCTATCAAACAAGCTGTAGGATAAGGCTCTGGTTCATTCTGTTCTGTTTTTCTTTCTTCACAATGTGTTTATGTATATTTACCCAATTTGCTCTGTTCTTCTTGCCAAATTACAGGTTTGAGATCTCAACTAGTGCAGAGCAGCTGTGCTATTGTTGATGTCTCACCAAACAAGGGTCAGCAAATAAGCCCATTTCGTGAGAATGGTGACACCTGCACATTCCACTCGAAAGGCAACTGCCCTCGAAAGGGTGGGATCCGCAGGGCTTCACAGAGTCCTTCCCACTTAAGACATTTTGGTACAAATAAACCACTGACAAAAACTACCTTCCAATCTATACATCTTTCTAGGTAAGACAATATGTTTAACCATGGGACATTTTTAAAAATTAAATTGTGTCCAATGGAAAAAAAAAATAGAAAAGAACTACCTCCTTTACATTCTTTCTGTTTAATGACTAAGAATCTGTGCATTTTGGTGTAAAATTCTACACCAGATAAAGAAATGTAATCCATAGATATCCCCTCAAAGGACTCCAAAGACCCACTCCAGCAATACTAAGCAATGATATACCTGGATAAGATCTGCCCAGACAGCTTTAACTTTTGGTTACGCCATGACATGCTGTACATGCATGCTAAGCCACATCAGTTGCGACCCCATGGACTGTAAACTCTCCAGGCTACTCTCTGCCTGGGATTCTCTATGACATCAATTTCCAAATGCAAACTTCTGTCCCAGCTACCCTGCTGCATTCTTAATTCCCATCTTCATGTGAAGCCTCTTTCAAACCAAAATTCACGAGCCCTGGATTTTTAAAGGGATCATCCTCAAAGAAATTGTAATTCAGGAGGCAACATAAATATAAGAAAGGGACTGAGCAAGCACTCTAATGAGATGAGGCACATGTCCGTGGCTCCAGCTCTGAGACTGTGCATCTGGCTTTGAGGCTGTCTGTCTAGGGTTACTTCACCAGCACGTTGTTAATTATTTAAGTGAGAGAACAGGGGGAACCATCACCACATCTGTCACCCTCACACAGGAAAAACCTCCATTCATTGTTGGGCCAGATGTGTTTATTTGAAACACAGACTAACTAGCGACTTAATGGGTTTGAATCCTTAGCCAAAAGCTAATTAGACAAACATAGTAAGCATCAGTCACCTTACAAGGCTAAACTGTTTCAGTGGTGCTGATTTTAATCCAATCTCATAAGAGGGCTCATCACCTACAAAAGTATCTGAAGGAAATGCAAGGCAAAGGAAAGGTCCAAATGACTTGCAAAGTACTTAGTGGAACACATAATGATGTCTCCAAATGTCCAACACAGTAACAAACAAAATCTTCTGCAATTTTGCCTCAGTGGTATCATGTACTTGATAAAAAAAAGAGGAAAGCAAAATTATTTTAGACAGATCTTTCAAAACATTCTCAGCTAGCTTGTAGGTGAAATATTAACATCCAAAGTCAAACAAATGATGATTTCTTGTGCCTGATATTTTTAAAAATACCATATAGGATATAATAAATATCAGGCATGAGAAGCAATCACTTGTCTGGCTTTTGATGTTAATATTTCACCTACAAGCAAGCTGAGAAGAGGATCTGTCTACAAATCACTAAAAAATTACAGGCAGTATGTACGGCAGCCTCTTCAAAAGGGGACTGTGCCCCAAGGCAAGTTCTACAGAAAACAAATTCAGTGTTGGACAAAACAGGCATATTGCATTTTATAAGTACTTTGGAAAAGAAAGTAAGCTGTCTTCCCTTTCTAGTCATTACTATGAAAAATCCAAGTTAGTTTTCTGCTCTCTTAAATGGTATGACCCCCAAAACAGAATTCTGATCATCCTTCTCCTACCTGAAATATGAAATACCCAGTAACCAAATGCACTATTTTAGTCCGTATATAAATAATGAATCAAAGTGTTTGAGAAACATGTTACAAATATTTCATGAATCTATTATGTGCCCAGCATCAAGTTCAGCAAGAAACGAAACAAATTCATTCTAGCAGGAAGGAGACACAATAACAAACAAACAAATGCTTTGGAGAAAAAGTAAACCAAGAAAAGGAAATAGAGAGTGTTATACTCAAAGGAGGGAGTAGACTCTGTGATTAAATCAGGTAACTGGGAAGGGCTTACTGAGAAGATGATATATAAACAAAACGTGAAGAAGCTGAACAGTGAGACAAGAGGGGAGGAGCCTCTTAAGCAGAGAGAGCAGCAAGTGTAAAAGATGCTGGAGTGGGAGTAAGCTCACGTGGTTAATGAAGAGCAAAGAGGCCAGTGTGCCCTTAACAGAAGGGGCAAAAGAGGATAAAGTCAGAGATGCAGCAAGGGCCAGATCCTGGAGAACCTCATAGAACACTGACTGCAGTGACTAGACTTTCAGTGTAATGCAGAACTCATTATCAGGCATAAGTGAAGGGGTGATATAAATTGATCTGTTTTAATAGAATCACTTCTGCCAAAGAGTATCTGAGAGGCTAATAACCTAAACAAGAACTGACAGTGGCTTGGTTTAGGATGTATCAGTAGAGGTGGTGGGGAAGGACTGGATTCTGAATATATTTTGAAATCAGAGCTGAGATTTGCTGATGGGCTACATAAAAGAGATCAACAACGACCCAAAGTTTTGTTTTTACCTGAACAACAAAAAGGATGGAGCTGCCAATGACTAAGAAAGAGAAGACAGCTCTGAAAGCAGACTGGGGGAACAATCAGGGGAATCAATATGGAGTCATAGACTCAATAAAATAAGACCAAACTTTAAGTCGATAGATTTACCATTGTTAATATAAGACAGTATTGTTCAGAAAGACACTGAGCCCCATTGTGCCCTTGGGGTAAAGATGGCTCAATGTAAAATGGACTGGCCTTAAATCCCAAGGCAGTCTAATTTGGTATAAGCACATTATCAATAAAGCTAAATTATTATATGACAAAGAAAACAAATACTTTTTTATAGAAAGAAAAAGATTCTGATAGTCTTGCTTTTATAAGTTATACAGCCCTCTATAACCAATTTAAATAGAAAGCTGATACCACTCCAGTTTACTCAATTGACCAGAACCAATGTCCAATAGATATCTTACATATTTAAGCATCCACATAACTCAAGTGCTCAAGTCAACTTCAAACTGGTAAAATAACTTTCTCAGGTTCCACAAAGGAAAATATAATCCTCCCTCTCTGAACTGTATCCTATTCATTATCCTAAATATATTGCATCCACTACTATTGAACAAAAGAACATGTGAACTATTCACGATCATTTTCTGCACAATAAAGAGAACAGCGGGAAAAGTCACAGGTGGAAATATTAAGTTACTGATAAAACTATCTGTGTATTTTAGGTGACTAAAATCATAGCCCTTCCTATAAACTAAATAGCTTTAAGTTTATCCAGGTATCATGGTTTATTGCCACACCAAAGAACATAAGAATATAGACCTTAACAGGACTGGGACACGTATTTCCGAGTCTAAATTGTGCCTTACTGAGCCACATTCCTTTTGCTCTTCAATCTTAATATTCCAATACTATAGTAATTAGTCAAAACCCCACTTTTGAAATTTGTGTGTGTGTGTAAATTCAATACACTAAAATTCAAAATACTGGCCATGGCTTTACTATTTGAAGACTCTAACAATAGTTCTCCAATCTACCCAGATAAATATGTATAGAGTCTTTTCATCAATATTTAAGAAACAAGATAAAACAGACTTTACCAATTTCAAATCTACTAAAAAATGTATAAAGTACTAACCAGAGTGATTTGCCTGGGCTTTACTATCCCATGTTCAATCTGTATATCAACAATAGATAAAACAACTACTGCCTACTGTGTCACAACTTCCTTATAATTTGTAGCTAAAAAGTTTTAAAATGTTTTAATGAAGCACTTACTCTCCAACTTCATGCAGGGTAGGCGCGGGACAAAGCATAGAATTCCGTTCCACACTTACTGGCTTTACATCTAGAAAATAAGATACCACTGAATTAATAAAGGGCTTTATGTATCTCATGCAGTTTTATTAATGATATGAAGAGATACAGCAATCAGTGTTCAAGTGTGGGGCATTAGATATATCAGCATGAAAAAACAAAAAAATACTCATCTAAAGAAAGAAGAGTAGAAACACAGAATGAAAAATAGAGATGCCTCATTGATATACAGTACTGCTGCTGCTGCTGCTGCTAAGTCACTTCAGTCGTGTCCGACTCTGTGCGACCCCATAGACGGCAGCCCACCAGGTTCCCTGTCCCTGGGATTCTCCAGGCAAGAACACTGGAGTGGGTTGCCATTTCCTTTTCCAATGCATGAAAGTGCAAAGTGAAAGTGAAGCCACTCAGTTGCGACTGACTCTTAGCAACCCCATGGACTGCAGCCCACCAGGCTCCCCCGTCCACGAGATTTTCCAGGCAAGAGTACTGGAGTGGGATGCCATTGCCTTCTCTGATATATAGTACTGGTAAATCATAAATTATGATTTTTTATATAACGTTCACATATAGTTTGTAGATACTATAAAATTATCACCATTTCTCCCTCAACTTTGTCAATATACTATTCAAGAAAAAATGATATATATTTTAAAAAGCAGAATTTTAAAATGATAAAGAAGATAAATATCCAAAGGATAATAAATTTCTTTATTTAATAGAGTTTAATAAAATAATTGGGTCTATTACATATAAACAGGCTTCCTAGGTGGCTCAGTAGTAAAGAATACACCTGCCTATGCAGGAGATGAGGGTTTGATCCCTAGATCCTCTTGAAGATCTTCTGGATAAGGGAATGGCAACCCACTTCGAAGGTACTCTGCCTGGAAAATTCCATAGACAGAGGAGCCTGGTGGCTATAGTCAAAACAGTCAGACACGACTTAGCAACTAAACAACAATAATATATAAATACATTTTATAGAATACTTAAGTTGCCTTGCAATTTTAATAGATATGAGAAAAATGATCTAGACTATAAATATTCAGAAAAGCTACATAATCAGTTGGATAATCTTAGAATGCAAATGATGAAAATACAATCTGACTCAATTTATTTGAGATTTATTTTAATAAATTTAATCCTATATAGCTAAACATAAAATATGTTTCTATTATAATAAACTCCAACCTGTAATCAAAAGAGTTAGGTAAAGTTAATGCTTAGATACAGATGATTACTAAATAAAAATATGAAAATAATTTTTCCTCTTCAGTTGTAGAACCTACTAACAAGAGTTTGTTACAAATATTATTGCCTTTCCTTACCAAAATGATGATTTTAATAGAAAAGATAGGAATTTAATGATGCCATTTACCATGCTGAGACCCTTAATACTTTAATTCAACAAACATATTGAGCAGTTACTTTGCATGCAGACAAAACTGTGCTAAGCAGAGAGTTTATAACAATCAGATAAACAACAAAATTGTACATGATCCTTTCAAAAAATATTTCTACCAGAGTTCACAGAGTTGCAGCATCTGCCTTACAGTATAAAATTTTAGAAGACAATATAATCACCAACAAGGAGAAAAGTCTTAAATGAGACCCAAAATGCCCAGAATATTAAGATCTATTTATTGAAAGAGGAGAAGTTTTTCTCAGAATAAAGATTAAAGTGTTACACTCATCTGCTTTTTTGAACATCAAGCTAGGGAAAGTGAAATTTAATTCCTTAAATATGATAATTATAAACAAATACTGTACCAGGGGGACACTGGAGACATATCTTTAAGGCAAGAAGTCTGTCCTCAGGAAACTGGCTGACAACTTATTTGCAAATTAGACAAAGACAGCAAGTGACAATGAAATGAGGTAATAAGTAGTAGAGTAGTCCAAGATCGGTAGACTTTCAAGCAAGAGTGACAGGAAACAAATGTGGAGAAAGAGACAATTAAATCAGCGGGTGGGTATAGTCCATTCAGAGTGCAGTCAAGAAAACTGGGTTCAACTCTCAGCTCTGCCCATTATTAGTTGTGTAATCACAGACAAGTTATACAACTCTTTCAGCCACAAGGCCATAATTTCTACAATGAGGATACTTCAGATACAGTCCAGCATTTAACAAGTTATGAACAACTGTTGCCATTATTAAATAACTATTAAGTAACTACTATTACTACTTGCATTATTATTGCACTTCCTTTCTTTACTGATTAAAAAAAGATAGCACTGTTGGTTTCAGCTGAGAAAAATACTTCATGCTGAAATACTGCACAGATATTAAAGCAATACTGAAATTATAGAGACATACTCATTGTGTATGTTTCATTTACAGTGTAAGTACAGAGAACACTGCCATTCCGACTCCCCAAGTTGAATCCTCTTCCATTCAAAACAACTTGAAATTCCTCTAGAAGTAAAAGGAAGAATAAAAAATGTAAATACTACTTTACAAAAACAACAACAAAAAGCATCACTTGAATCAAAAGCATCAAGGCACAAGGAATACTATTCAGCCAACTAATAACAAAAGACATGGTCTTACTAGTTTTCTTAGATCTTCCAAGGAAATACAGTGGAGATACCCTTCACTGCCAGGTAGAGATGCATTATTTTACTTTTTGAACAAAGTGTTTTCCAGTAGTAACCAAAAAGAATTGAAGTGTAATTGACCAATAGAATTGTAGCACAACAGTCATCCCAGACAGACACTGTACAAACTTGCCCAAATTCTATCCTGAGGAAAATATCTGTAGGAAAGAAAAACCCTTTGTTTTCCTCTTGTCTTAGGCACTGAGGTATGAGAATGTGAGGAAGTTAATGCCTCATTTTGCCTGGTTCTTAGAACAGTCATGTGTTGTATTTTCTTTAACCTATGACACCCCATACAGAGTTCTTCTTTAATAGCTTCTTCACATATTCAATCCTACTTTTAACTTCTGTTGCATACAGACTTGTAACTCATCAAAAGTCAGGCATTTTAGATTAATAATAATCTGTGGCCAATTAGTAAAAGAACTTGATTTGACTCATACTCTGTGTAAGAGGAGCAGTCACTAAATGTTAGAGAGTGAAATAACATGCTAGAAGAAAAGTTTCAATGTTTATATCTTTGCCGCTTAGCTGCAAGAAGATATGTCAACTCTTTTAATAGTAGTTAACTTTCAATCCTCTTCAGAGACCCCCTACCCAAGATAATCTAACACATATCTAACAATTAACTGTGGAAGAAAATGCTGCCATGCCACTCTCCATTCAGTGCGTTACTGAATGTAAAGAATGTTCTTATAAGTCACAATAAAGTGCAAGTGAAATGTAGCATGTGACTCAGAAAAAGAACATGAGCTTTTGGAGTCAGACAGACAAGAATCTAACAGGACATTTACTAATAGCAACTACTGAATATATTTCTGTCTCAGTTTCCCCACCTGTGAATCCAGGATTATAAAACTGCTGAAGAGTGTTGTTGTAAGGATTAGGCCAAATTATAAATGCAAAGAACACCATCCCACTTTAGAATGTTCAAATGCACTATACCTCTTAAACATCTCAATAATCATTAATGAAGGGTGCGTCTAAAATATGCCTGCAATGCAGGCGTCCCTGGTTTGATTCATACGTCAAGAAGATCCCCTGGAGAAGGGATAGGCTACCCATTCCAGTATTTTTAGGCTTTCCTGGTGGCTCAGCCGGTAAAGAATCAGCCTGAAATGTGAGAGACCTGGGTTCAAACCCTGGGTTGGGAAGATACTCTAGAGGAGGGCATGGCTATCCACTCCATAGTTATCTTTTTATATCCAAGGCTCCCAGACTTTGATATATTCTTGCCTGGAAAATCCCCATGGACAGAGGAGCTTGGTAGGCTACAGTCCATGGGGTCGCAAAGAGTCGGACACGACTGAGCAAGTAAGAACACAGAACACTAAAAGATGTAGAACTTCATCCCATGTCCAGCAGGTGGGAGGCCACCAGGCCCAATATTTAACTTTTGAAAGAAAAGTTGGGTTAAAATGAGCTCCAGGTTAAAACCTGAAGAAAGTATATAGGCCACAGAGAATCCCACTCTCTGGGTTGGATGGCTTGAAAGTGCTAAAACCTGAGTCTGTTTTTTAGCACCAGCTGATCAAGCCACCTGCTTCTCTCCTGCCATCCACCCTGAGCTGGCAGGGATGTACTTTGGCCAGGTCATCAAAACATGGAGCTCAAAGTCTACAGATACATGCCTGTTTGTATAATCAGATAAAAGAGAAAATTTCCTATTTTACTTGTCATAAGAAAGGTCTCAAACATGAACTAAATATACAGAAGATTTTAAAAGCCTGTCACACAATATGTTCATTATTTAAAATAACACTCCAATCTTAAAAATTTGAATTTAAAATAGAAATATTTCAAGGAATTATTTAAAAATTCTTGCAGAAAAAGATGCCAAAAAATTAATTTTGCTATTCTCTTTCCAACATGAGTTTCAAACCATATATTTTAACTAGGAAAAAAAGTACAATTTCTTACAAGGTATTTTTAAATTCTAAGTACTTACGCCCCACACAGACACTTGAGGGCCGCAATTCCAGGATTTCAGTGCATGACTGAGCTAGTATCTAAAAAGGAAATAAAAAAGAAGACCAAGATATGTAACTAAACCATAATATGTAAAATGAATCATAAGATTACTAATAATCTGCGGTCCTCCATTTACAATAAATGGCAGAGAAAATTTATTAGCCACATATACAGCTACCAAGCTCTTATGAAATTTCCGTGTCACCTTTTAGTATATATTTCAAGACTGTATTCTGTAGGAATGCTTATTTGATTAGAATAAATACAGATAAGCACAGATAAAAGGAGTTGTTGCTTCAGTCTGGGAGCCTTGGATATAAAAAGATAACTAAAATTTCTCAATAGCCATAAAATCAACGCTGACTTTCCCATCAAGCAAAAACAAGAGAGCAAAATCAGACCTCCTATTTAATTATGCTAATTTAACATTTTCTATTAAAAGATTCAACATAATATCAATAAATAAACACTTCTTTATTTGACTCTGGCATTTCTATTCAATTTCTCTGCCTCAATTCCCATGGATGCTAATCCTCCTTACATGCATCAAACATTACACTTACAGAACACAGGCCCCTTGTATGAGCCAAATATTATTCTCAAAAGCACAGACTCTCTACTCCAGCATTCCCAGAGCACAGGAACAGAACAGCTCTTCTTAGCGTGTTCTGCAAGACAGAAACCACCATAGAAGGCACCAGGCTACAAGTGAAAAACAACAGTGATGAAATAAGCTGCTCCTCATGGACTCAACAATCCTGCCTTTATTTTTAGAACTGATCTGCACTACATTAGCAAAGGCAGACAAGTTCCAGATGATCTTTGAAAGGCATTTCTTTCTTGCTGGAAGTTGAGGACAGACGACATACAGTAGTTTCTAGCGTCTCCTGCTCATAACTAAGACAGGAAGGAAGGACTGTGGCAGGATATAGAAATGCTTTCCGTGCTTTCTTTAATAACAGTAGAAATGTAAATTGTCAGAATCTAAAAATCAGCTGGTCAAATCATGGAATTTTTGTTGCTGAATATGCCTCTCTGAAAGAGGGCACATTTGTACTTTTGAGGGTCATTTCCCAGTGAATCCACTTTTCACATAGTGATTGAGGAGTAAAATACTGTAACTAAGAAGTTCTGAGTGAGAGCCATTTAAACTCAGAAATGACCAAAGAGAGTCCAGCGTCACCTGAAGACTGTCAGGGCCTCAGCAACTCTTGGTCTGCTATTCTATCTCCAATAATCAACACTCACTCCTTTGAAGAGCAAGCACTTTTGTTCATTTAAGAATTGAGGATCACTGTCAAAAGTTAACGTGCCCTCTTGGAAAGAAAGAATCTCAAATCACTAACATCTTTAAACTGTTTGACATAATTCAGATAACAAGACTCTGAAGGGAACAGAATACAAAAGTTTTGCCAAAAGAGTAAGAAACTAAAAAGGTTCCAGTTAACAAAATAGGTGCATTATTGCTCCAGGTTTGACCAGTCTGAGATAAAAGTGAGAACTGAGCCACGAAAATGGAAGATCAAAGGAAAGCATAAACCCCCTAAATCTATTTTAGCTGGCAACAATTCTTGAAAGAATTTATTTGAAATAAATCCTATTAAGAAGAGTGACTGATCTTAGAGCTGACAATCTTTTTACTACTCTAGTTATTTTAGGCACACCTTTATCAGCATTACAGAAAAATGTTTTGAGTCTTGAATCACCCCCTCTACTAGAACACAAACTCTTAGAGCATAGAAATGGGATATCACACTGAGCAAGCCTTCCAGGAGAACCACATTGTTTTGTACTCGCAGTACAACCAAAAAAAAAAAAAAAAAAAAACCTGCTTCGAGAATAAAGACCAAACATACTAATTAATAAGAATATTAAAAATGTCTAGTATGCAAATCAATAATCATAAAAGGACTAAGATAAAGCAGAATAAAGTGAATTTATGTTTTTACATAAATGAGATGCCAATGGTGGAAAATAATGTCTCTGCCTACATGTCTTCCTGAGGGAGGTCTGTTCCTCTGTTACTGTTTTTCTTAGTTTCTTTCCCTCCCGTATGTGTGAACCACAGGGTTGTTAAAGGTTTTTAACCGATAGTTGAGCCCACAGAGCACAGATTGGGTTGGAGGTAAAAGTGTGACCTTCCAGTGGGGAGAGGTCTGGGCAGAGAAGTTGATGGTATACCCAAGACTGTCTGCAAGACCTTGGTATACCCAAGACTGTCTGCAAGACCTGTGTTCATAAACCAGTAAAAAAAATCTATAATTAAAAAAAGAGGCCGAAAGATATAAAATTCTAAATTCTGTTACTTTGTGTAAGAGGCCTATGTTCCAGCTCACTGTCCCAAACTGTCAAATGCCTAGAAGATGGTTTTATATATTTAATCTCTATGATAATAGTCATAGTCCTTTCTCATTATCAAAACTTTCTGTCCTATTTAAAATGTATTTGTTTTGAATGCCTCCTTTAGAAGGTATGATAGGACTTTTCAAGGCAGGGGACAGGAACCCTAGTCCGGGAAGAGTCCACATGCCGCAGAGCAACTAAGCCGGTACACTGCAACTACTGAGTCTGTGCTCTAGAGTCTGCAGGCTGCAACCACTTAGCCCGAGTTCTGCAACTACTGAAGCCCATGCGCCTAGAGATCATGCTCCCCAACAAGAGACGCCACTACGATGAGAAGCCCATACACCGCAACAGAGTGCCTCTGGTCACTACAACTAGCGAAAGCACTCATGCAGAAACAAAGACCCAGCACAATCATAAATAAATAAAGTTACTGTAAAAATGTATGGTAAAAAGCCAGAAACACATGATCACAAGAAAGTGAAAATCCAAGTAATCCCCCTCTTCTGAGTTGTTTGGAATAAAACTGCAAGGGGAACAAGAGCATTCAGCCTTACAAATTATAATTATTTATTTTCTATAATTATTTCTATAATTATTTAGAAACCAGTTGTTTCTAACTGGTTGCATACAATTTTGATACGTTATTTGCACAATTTAGACCACCAGAATACTCTCAATAGTTCGGTGAACTCTATAAACATGGATATCATGGAATTTCTCTATTTCACAAGGGAGCGGGGTGGGATAAGATAAGGTTATTTACACCCCCCTCTGGGTTAGTTTTGGTTAGCCAAAAGACCAGATGTAGCCTTAGGGGTCAGCTCTGACCATACTGCCAGCTGGCCTCTTACAGATGTTTGGCAGAAGATGAAAGTAGATTCCATTGTGCTGTCCCTTGCCTGAAGTTCAACTTGAATGAAGTACCAGAATGGTGTTTCACCCTGGTTATTCCAGGCATGTTCCAAATTAATTTCAATTGACTCTGCATCTAGCATCATGTACTTAGGTTGCAGGATTTCACTAGAGACCAGATTTGCATACAGAGCAACAAGGGGACAGACATGTACATTGGAGCTAGAATTGGCAAGACGTATGGCTATGTAAGCACCACTGCTAAGTCAGAGACACAACTCTTCCAAGAATCCCAGTGGCTACAAAGCAATTTCTTATCTTGCTTATCTATAGTGTCAGGATCAGATCTTTAAAATTATTGAATAATAACTATGTAAATTAACAGTATTAATCTAGGAAATATTTATAGCAGAAATAACCAGAAAGCATCAGACTTGATTTCTTCTTTTTTAGCTATTTTAAGATACATATGAAACCACATTTTGATTGAGATCTGTAAGTTTCTGAATATGTTTACATAATGAACACATGCTATAATAACAAACACTGAATATGTAGGAAGTAGTGTAAATCATATTATAGCCCCCAAAAATGCATACAACGAATAGAGCTTTGGCCTTTTTCTTCTGGCATTAAAGATAAAATGAGATTAATTTAGTGGAGAATTGTTGTTCGGCTGCATCCAAGATAAAATTTAGCATGGAATTAGTTAAAATGAGGTGACAAAGTCAAAATATTACTTAGCACCTAGAGTGTCTTGGAAGTTTATACTGAATTTGGGAGCAACATCTAAGTCTTATGATTTGAAGACCAAACACCCAGTTTAAATAAACAAGCAAAAGCCCACTTCCTACAACTAATATACATTAAGACATATTTTTTAAATCTATATTTTTTCCAATTTCTTTTTTTTTTAATTTTATTTATTTATTTATTTGGCTGCTCTGGGTCTCAGTTGTAGCATGTGTGATCTAGCTCCCTGACCAAGGATCGAACCTGGGCCCCCTGGACTGGGAGTTCAGAGTCTTAGCCACTGGACCACCAGGGAAGTCCCTCCAATTTCTAAATGGTGATGGTAAGGATACTATATTTGGAAAACAGAATAAAGCCCAGTGCACATAAAACTAGGTAAACACTTTTTTTAATGAATGATAATACCTCATATTTAAAACCAATCTAATATAAAAAGTATATAGCACAAAGTTATAAACAGCTGCTGCTCAGTTAATATTTATTGAATTAACTAAGTAAATGCAAAATTTTCTAGTAAAAAACAAGCATCTTGACTATAAGACAAATAAACAGGGTGTGTAACAATGGACAGTTAAACATATTTAAAATTAAAGAGCTTTTCAAATCACATCTTTGGTCACACACAAGGAAAGGAAAACGTATTTGTATAGTTCAAATTGTGGTAACCAATGGCACTAATAAGGCACTGAGCCAAATACAAATAAGGAACAAATTTACGATATGCACCTTCTTTTAAAAAGAGGGTTAATTTTAGATAGGATATGTGGAAGAGAAAAATGACATTAAATCCCATTGAATGGTTTCCTCTGTGACATCCTTTTTAAAGGTCAGTTCTAAATAAAAAGATTTTTCCCCCAAACTGGATTATTTCTTCACTCTTAAATTCTATATGCTACCCAAACATCTCCAACATTTTCAATGTTATTCAAAATTCAAAATATTCATTCTAGCAATAACTTTCTAATACTGACTTTGAGTAAATAACATCACATACAACAGAACATTATAGATAATTTACGAGTACCCTCAGTGTATCCTTAACAAATAGAAACTGCTAATTTGCAAGACATACAGCATGCCAGAAAAT